GATTTTATCATTACAGTTAATGCCGACAATGATGGAAGAGCTGGTATCTCAGTCAGACCGGGCAGCAAAAACATCGTAAGCGAGTACAAGCCGTCGAACTCGAACCGACCCATGTCAGCTGTACAAGCTGCGCTGAAGCACACCAAGAAACCTTTACCTTGAGAAAGACTACTCAACAAACGGTAATAATGAGAAAAATCTGATGAAGTTGGCTTCCATCGCTGACAAGCACGTGGTGTTAAAGCCCAAACAGTGTATCCTCTAATTCAAAAAGTTGAATCAAGTCTCAAACATATACTAGACCTTCGTTTCAAATATCCAAAGAGAGCTTTTTTTAAAGTATCGTCAACTGTAGTGTAGAATTCTCCTCACTATCAACTCTGCATCAGTCTATATATCGAAATTCAAACCATTCAATCTACTTCACTGGGACGCGATGAAAGACGGCTGTAAAGCTTGCATTTCAGCAGTAGAAGAAACAATGAAGGAATGACCGCTAACCCAATAAAATGTGGCGTTTTTCGCTTCTGACGATACCTTGAGCGAGAATAGCCGGACTGAAGGCAGAAACAACTACCGCTCAAGCCCTGGAATCGTTCGACGACAAAAATCGCCAATGGACACGAACCTTGCAAGATCCAAGACTTTGTGCTGTTCATTTATAAAACTAGGAACTTACTAAGGCGGCTTGGAGTGCAAAGTGGACGAAATACAGAAGTGCTTGGATTCAGCTTAAACTTGGTTGATGCTTTGATCTTGGCATGATTGAAGATAACGCCGGATAGGCAATATACTCTTATGTCAAACACCGCTTATCTGCCGTCATTTCTTCTTCTGCGGGAATCAATTTTTCAAGGTATTTTCAACAAAATGCATGAACTTTTGAACAGCTGCAATGAAAATAAGAATTACCTAGAAACTGCAGTGTCTAGCGGCAGTCCCTTAAAGTTTTATGAACCAAGACTCCTTTTGAAAAACGGATGGCTTGATTGTTCACAAATATATAAAACTCAGTAAAAGTCTTTTAAACATCGCCAATATTTCATTCACCCAAAGCATGATTTGCTGCCCGTAAATGCAGTTATTTCTCATACCCGATGTATAATGTTTTCAGGTTAAGAATCTGCTTGTTGTTCACTAATGCATGTTGGCGGATTATAAGTCATTAAACATGT